CGCGCTCCTGCCTCCGCCACCCACTTCCGGCTCCCCGGAGCTTCCGGGGCGCTCCGCGGCGAAAGGGGGCGGCCCTCGAGCGGAGCCCGCGCAGCGCTTCACGTGCGAGGGCGGCCGGCGGCGCCTCCGACCCCAGCGCCCAACGGAAACTGCGCTTTCCCACAATGCACCCTGGCCGGAAACGGCCTGCGAGGGGCGCTCGGCTTTCTCCGGCTGGACTCGGCTGCTTCCGGAGAGACGGAAGGCGGGAAGGAGCGGAAAGTAGCCCTTCCTTGTTGCCTTGGGAACGCGAAGCCAAAGCTGTTCGCCCGGCAGTGTTCCCGAAGCGGCGCTACGCCGGCCGGGCACTGGGGCTCTGAAACTGATGTACAAGAGAGTTTCCAAAGAGCTCGGTAAAAACGGGTTCTTCGGGTGCCCCACGGACCCGCAGGTCCCCACTTGGTTCTCAGTGGCCTTTTGGGAGACCCCGCGGTGAACCCAGGGCCCTGGCACTGAGCTACATCCCAGCCCGTTTTATTTTTGATTTTGAGACAGCGATCCCTAAGTCTCTGAATTGTCCAGCGCCCAGGCTGGGCTCGAACTTGGAATCCTCCTGCCTCAGCCTCTAAAGTGCTGAGATCACAGGCGAGCACCGCCACAGGGCCGTGGCTTCACTGCCTGCTGTTTTGAATATAGTCCCCCACCACCCATGCAGTAGTTTCATCCCCGCAGTCCCTGTCAATTCTTCAGGAGGGTGGGAACTTCGACTGTGGGCTTAGAGGTGGGGACCTACAGACAGTGACTAGATGACATTCTGTCAGCACGCCGAGCTCCTGGATGCGTGGTGGCTCCCTAAGGCGGGGGGACGGGCCAGGGGCACGGGTACATGTGGCGCTGGCCCCATGATGTGGTGCAATCAAGGCGTGCCCTTTGCCAGCCTGTGCCAGGGCTTTGGACCTTGAGCCTCTGCAACATCCCAAAATAAACTTTCCTCTTTTTCAGGTTTTTTTGTTTTGTTTTGTTCTTTAGACAGGGTTTTGCTATGCAGCTCAGGGTGGCCTTGAATTCACTCTGTAGCCCAGGCTGGCCTTGAACTTGCATCGATCCTCCTGCCTCAGCCTCCTGAGTGCTGGGATTACAGGCGTGCACCACCAAGCCCAGCCGACCTCTTCTCTTTATCAAGCAGCCCGCGCCAGGTGTTCTGTCATACAGGGAGCAAGCGTTGTGGGCTGCAAGGTGGGCAGATAAAGCAGCACTGGGACAGATGCGGTCACCGAAGTCTGCTGCAGATGTGCACTGACACAGGTGGGGAAGGTGCGGGCAGAGGAGGAGAACGAGGGGTCCCAGGAGGGAAACAGAAACAGCACAGGCAAAGTTGGGAGGGAAGATGAAAAGTTCAGGTGAGCAGGGGCTGAGAGTGGAGCCCGACTGTGAGCCCCCTCCTCGCAGGAAGTTGGCAGAGTCAACTTCTCCATGCCTTAGTTTCCATATCTGAAAAATGGGGGTGTGATGGGGTTATATTAAATAACAGTTCAGGAGACCATTGCACTGGACTAGTCCCAACAGTGTAGAAGACAGCCAGACGCAGGGGCTTACTCCTGTAACCCCAGGAACTGCGGAGGCTGAAGCCAGAGGGTCACAAGTTTGAGCCCTGTCTCAAAATCAAATGAGCTGGGGATGCAGCTCGGGGCCCTAGAGTCAATCCCCGTACCACCAACTACATAAATAAATTCCGTCACTTACACAGCGATTCCACGTCACCAAGCCAAAGCTCAGGTGCCTACCTGAGCCTCTGAGAAATCAGCAGGGAGAAGCAGGTGCGGACAGAGGGCCAGTCCACGGGCGCGATACCACGTCAAACACTGAGCCTGGTGTGCGGAGCTCGCCTGCCTCTAGAATCACAAAATGAAGCCGCTCGGTCTTAAAGCAGTCAGGGCCCTGCAGGCCACCACACAGGCGCGCCCTCCGGGGTCCTGCTTCCTGTCCGGCCCACTTTGCAGAGCGGCAGTGACCTTTCCACGGGCATCGACGCACCCCGGGGCTTCTCATCCACCCAATGAGCAAGGGCCCAGGCTCTGCCCTGACACTGGGGCCTGAAGGATGCCTGAGGCAGGGTCCTGCACCCCCTCACCCCCGTCCCGCAGTTATGACGGGGCTTGAACCCCTACGCTTTGCGCTGAGCTGCACACCCAGCAGGCTTCTATTGATGACTGGTCCTTTTGAGACGGGGTCTAAGCTGGCCAGGCGGGACTCCAACTTGCAACGCCTCTGCCTCACACACACAGGGAGCGCGTAAGAAAAAAGTTCCAGGGCGGTGAGCGCTCCACACCAGAGAAATCGGGTGGGGTGCGCAGGAGGGGCTGGCTCTGGGGGCCTGGCCACCCAGGCAAGGTGGTGCCTCTGAGGTGGTGAAGATTTTTTGGTGAGACCTAAGTGAGGGAGAGGAGCAGTCCTGAGACTGCAGAGGAGGGAGGTGTTTCTTGCGGAGGAATTGGTCCCCACCTCCTATGTCCTGGGGCCCACGTCAACCCGCCCCCCTCACCGACCCACCTCTGTGCACAGTGGTGTTTTCTTTTCCCTGTGGCCCCAGGAATCAAACCTGAGCCTCTTACACTTGAGGCAAGCAGCCCACCACTGAGCTACATCCCCAGTCTTTGTTTTTCTTTTAAATTTTATTTCAAGATAAGGCCTCACTAAACTGCCCAGGGAGACCTTCAGCTCGAGATCCTCCTGCCTCAGCCTCCCAAGTAGCCAAGATGACAGGTGTGTGCCGCCACACCCAGCACCACACTGGCCTTTCTTTCGTTCCTGAAACACACCTGCTCCGGCTGGTTCCGAAGGCTGTGCCTGGAGCACTTTATGAACACCGCCCTGCTCCACCCGGCCAGCTGCTCTGGAGGTCCACTTCAGCCCATCTGAAGCTCACTTCCCTCCAGACCTGGCCAAGGTCGAGTCTCCACAGCACCCTGCAGTGCTCCTCCTTAGAGCTGCCTGGAGAAACTGTTATGGTTTAGTTACTTATGCCTTACTAGTGGTTTGACATTGGGTTTCTCTGCTAGACTATGAGTTGTTCTTTTTCTGCTCCTCTTCCTCTTCCTCCTTTTTTGTGACAGAGTCTCACTATGCAGTTCTGGTTGAACTTGAACTCATTATGTAGCCCAGGCTGCCCTCCAACTCTAAGCGATCCTCCTGCCTCAGCCTCCCAAGTGCCGGGATGACAAGTGTGTGCCACCAAGCCCAGACAGGCTGTGAAATCTGTGACAGTAGGAGCCCCAGTTGTTCTTGTGACCCCTGCTGTCAAGTCCAGAGGCCATATGGTGCCTGGCATGCGGCAGGAACGCCCTGCCTACCAGGTGTGAGATGCACACGTTCTCCCAGCACTTCGGGATGTGGACACTGTGTACCGCAGGCACGTACTAATCAAATACATTCTTTTTAAAAGGGGGTGGAGGATAGCTTAGTGGTGAGCGGCCCCAGCACGTGCGAGGCCCTGGGTTCCACACTCCACTGAAAAACAGAAGCTTTTCAGGTAAAAGCAGCGTCGCGGAGCAGCCCGGCTTCCTGCTGATGTGAACCCCTTTTTGGGGGCGTCCGGCCGGGAACCTGCGCGGAGGGGAGACAGCAGGCGGAGAAGGCCGGGGCCCGGGGCTGCCCTGGGCTGGGCAGGGCGGGCACGCCTGGCCGAACCCCGGGCCCTCCGCGCCCCGTGTGCGCGGGAGGGTCGAGCGGGGGCGCGTGCCGCAGGGCGAGGCGTCTCCGCGCCGGCCCTGCCGACCTTTCCCGGAGGAGGCGGGGGAGCCCGGGACGCGAGCACCGGGCTGGGCGGCGCGGGACACGCGGGCGCAGGAGGGAGGAAGGCGGCCGCGCTTCGCAAACGTCCTGCTCGCGTCCGCTCGGTGAAACTTCACCAAGGGTCAGGCGCGCGCGATCACCAAGGAGGCGCTGGCCGCCTCCTGCCAAGTCCGGGGCGACCGGGCGCAGGTGCTCCGCAGAGGACTCTAACGCCTCCCCCTTTGTGCCTTTTTGGCGCGAAGTCGCTCCGCGCCGGGAACTACGTTTCCCACCATGCCCCGCGCGGAGCGTGCTGCGGCCCAGACCGCGCCCGCCGCGCGCGCGCCCTTCTCTTCCCGCCGGCCCGCCCGCGGCGCAGTGCGCATGTGTCCTCCACGCCCGCGGCGCCCAGCCACAGCGGGCCCCGTCCCGCGCATGCGCACACCGCAACCCGACGCCCCGGAGTTGAGGCGCGGGTTTGGCGGCGCATTTCTGCGAAGTCGCACGTGAAGCATCGCAGTGACCGGAGCTTGGTGAGTGCAGGCCGAGGGCGGGCTGGGCGGCCGCACACGAGGCCGGGGTGCCGCGGGCCCGCGAGGGGAGCAGGGCGGAGCCCCGCGGCCTCAGACCGGAGAGGGGAGGGATCCCACGTCGAGCGGCGGGTCGTGCCCCTGGGACCCGGATCCTCGTTGCTACGCAACCGGGGCGGCGTTACTAGGTAACGGGAGGCGCGGGTTTCTCGTTTGCAGAGGGTGCACGTGCTGCGGGAGATGTGCCGGGTGCCTCGGCTGCGGGGCGCGGCCCTGCCAGCGCTGAACCCCGACCTCCGCGCCCGACCCTCCCGGCCCCACCTCGCGCCCCGCGGGGTCGCGCTTACCCGGGCCCCAGCTCATGGGCCGCCCCGTGTCCCTCATCCGCCCGCGACGCTGCCGCTTGGCAGAGACTGCTGTCCGAAATAGCACATGCCGCTGACACTCCGCCCCGGAGCCTGGCCCTGTGGAGCGCCGTCACCCGGCCCCGGGCAGTTGCTGGGCCAGAAGTGTGGGGGCTTAGCTAGGGGCCGCCCGACCTGCCAGGGTGCTGACTTCATTCTGCTTTCACCCAGCCGCGCTTCTCGGGTGGCGCTTATGTTTGAATCCCCTGCTAAAATAACCACCCTCGTCCCTCCTCTCCGTGTCTCTGTCTTGCACTCGCTGCTTCTTGACGAGCCCCTAATACTCATTTGACAAGCATTTACTAGTCATCTTTCTGTTTGTGGTACTGGGGATGGCAGGAAGAGTTAGGCATCGGGCTTGCCTGCCAGGGGCGGGTAGTCGGGGGATACACCGCCACGTGCTGGCACGGTGCAGTGACACATGTGTGGGCTGCCACCTTCTGTAGGGGTTTACAAAGTGCCTGCAGAAACATCGTGACTCCTTGCAGCAACCTGCAACCTGGCCTCACCCCGTTGTACATTTGAGAAGACTGAAACTCAGATAGGTGAAGTAACAGACAGAGGAAGTGGCTTAAACCTGGCATGGTACTACCCACCTGTAATCCCAGCACTTGGCAGGCTGAAGCAGGAAGACCTATCGTTTGAGACCAGCTTGGGCTGTGTAGCTAGTTTCTGTCCCAAAAACAACCCAAAAAAGAAGTGGCGGCTTCTTGTTGGGTGAATTGAGCCCTGGGTGGAAAAGTCTGGGGTCCCCTGCGCACTGCTGCACTTGGTTTTGCCTAGAGTGCCCTGGGCCCTGGGCCACTGGTCATTTGCGGCAGCTGTGTGGTTGTGCATCAGGCATCCCTGGGGAGCTGCTCGCACGAGAGGCTGAGCTCTTCTCTGGGGGGCAGTGAGTGAGCAGCCCTGGGGGCTCCTTCCTGAGCCACTCACTGCCACACAGGGACCGCCCCCTGACCTGTGGTGACTCACAGCCTGAAAGGGAAGAGAGGACAGCCTTGCCCCACCCTGGCACGGGCGCACAGCTGGCCCCGTAGTTCGTGCTCTGCACTGGCGTGGTGAGGAAGGCGGCTTCCCCAGCCCAGCTGCACCCCTGGGCCCTGCCTGAGCTGTGCTTCAGCTCCTGAGCAGAAGTGGGAGGGCTGTGCCTCTGTTCTGTCCTCTCAGACCTCCTGGGGCACAGCACCCTGACCCGGTAGAGGGTCTCTTCCGGACTTCCTGCTCTGTTGGTGTGTGACAGAACTTTAAGCCTCTTGTGGGTAGGGACGTTGTATGAGGCGCTTCGGGGACGGGACGGGGGTGAGAAGGGACCTTGGGCCCTGGCATCAAGTCCCGGTTCTGCTCTGTGATCGTGGGTAGTCACGGGCCTCTCTGAGCCACACTTGTCTAAGAGAAGTGGAAGGTGCTGAGATACAAGATTGTTGTAAGAGTTAATTGAGATAGCGCAGTAAGAAGCACTTTGTAATCAGAAAGCACCACCGAAAAAGTTTTATATACCCAATAAATAAAAATTGTTATTGTCTAGTGCCTACTGTTTGTCTGAGGTCAGGCATTGTAGGAGGGGGAAAAGCATAAACCAGACTTCTACCTCTCAGAGGTTGAGACTGATTCAGCTTTTGATTATTGAGGCCTTTTTCTTTTTTTTTAAAGAAGTTGAAGCATGATGTTGCATGCCTGTAATCGCAGTACTCTTGAGACGCTGAGGCAGGAGGACTGCAAGTTCGAACCCAGCCTGGGCAACTTGGCAACTTAGCAAGACCTTGTCTCCAAAACAAATAAAAGAGCTAAGGATGTAGTTCAGTACCAAGGCCCTGGATTCAATCCTCAGTACTGCAGAAAACCCCCACAGATTTGATTAGGCCGAAGTGAGGAGATAGAGTGGAGGTGGGTCAGGGTCTAAGGCCTGAGCATGACCCAGAGTAACAAGGAGAAATCCTCTTAAAGAGCAGCCCTGAGAAACCGGCCCCTGGTCATCCGGGCTCTCTTTGTCCAAATGGCACCCGCTGCGCCCTACTGGACTTGGTTGCTGGTGTGCGTCAGAGGGTCGCCTGCAGAGCTGTGAGGGGTCTATTTCAGGTCCCCCGGCTCAGGGCAGATAGCCACGCTAAGGTTGAGGCTGGCGCAGAGCGAAGCAGGTTCCCTGTGTGGGAGGAGGCGACCCTGTCACCCTGACCTTCGGGGGTGGGGGGAGGAGGCGACATCTGATTCCTCCTGGTGGAGGCCCTGGGATGCAGGATCCAACCCAGGGTAGCAGCCCTGCACTGCGAGTCCTCGGCATGCCCCAGTGCTCAGGGACCAGCCTCATCTCCGGCCCCGGCAGGCGGGGGCCATCTGCTTCTCGCCTGGTGCCAGCAAGAGTAGGAGGCTTTCCCCGCCTGAGGCCAGTCCACGAGGACTACGGGTTTTGCAGCCTGCTTGACCCCCCAGGGCAGCAGCAGGGCAGCTGCTCCTGGGCCAGACAGCACCCAGAATGTAATATTTTTAGAAGCCTTTTTTGGAGCCGTTTCCTTCCCAGTAAGCAAAAATGAGAACACCCTTCTCTTTCCTCTCTGCCTTCTCCACGGCTGCAGATTTCTGACCAGCCAAAGGCCTCCGTAACCGCAGACCTTGTCTGACTCTGATCCTCAGCCTGTTTCTGGAAACTCTCAGGGGCCCCTGAGTCACCTCTCACCTGGGAAAGGAGGGGATTCGCTGGTGCTGTCCGGCCAGCATGGCTTCCAGCGAAAGGTGGACCTGCAAACATGCTTCTTGGCTGATACTCGCCTGCCTCAATGAGGTGGTGCTTGTTGGTTCTTAACCTGTCTCAGCATCAAGTTACGGGTAGACCAGAGCACCAGGTGTTAGACAGAGCCGCCAGTAACTCCCCAGCTGGCTGGTGGAGGCCCGGTTCATCTGGCTCCTGAGTGATCTGTGGCTTGGCTTTGAATCACTGGTGAGACCTCTGTCAGAGACATGCAGTGCAGCGTTGTGTTCCGGGCACGGCGGGAGAGGCACCTGTAGAGGCACCTGTAGTCCTCTCCTGGCCTCCCCTTTCGTACTTGCAGTTCCCGCTTCCTCCAGGGGGGAGGCAGGTGGGGTTCAGGGACGGGCAACACCAGCCAGCCTTGTGTTACTCAGGGCTGTTCTTTACGCCTTTGCCCGTGTGGTTGGGAGTGGAGCTCGCGTGCCCGTGGTTGTGACTGTGTGTGTTCCTGCGTCTGCATGTGGCGCTGTGTACACACACTGGGAGCGTCTCGGTTTCCATCCCAGAGCGCCGTATCCCTGACCAGTGGGTTCCCAGGTGCCTGGAGCAGTGAGGGTGTCCTCTGTCACAACCTTGGCCGCACCAACATGCAGCGGCTTCTGCAGGTGAAGACGCAGGTGTTATTTGTAGCAGGCCTTTCGACATACCTGGGTGTGTGCGAACGCAGCCCTGGGGGCTCCCGGTCTAAGGGCAGGACGATGGGGGGCTCGTGCCGGGGAGCCAGGCCTGTGCCAGGGTTTGAGGAGGAGGGTGCTGAGGATTTGGTCGATCAGCCAACACCATGCATCTCTGGAGGGTACAGGGCTTGGAGCACCCCCGGTAGCTGGTGTGAGGGTGGTGCCCCTGGAGCTCGGTCAGGCTCGGCGCCCTGGCCGTCTTCTCCCGGGGCTCATCGGCACCTGTAGGGTAAACAGCGAATGAGTGTTTTCCTGAACGCCGGTGCCGTTCTAGTACAGGCACGGCGCCACAGCAGGGGTGGGAAGCAGGGTGCCGGCCGGCAGGGGTGCGCCAGCTGGTTTCCCCAGGGAATGGGCCCCCTCCTGGTGTCGCAGAGGCTGTCTGTGAAGAGCAGGTGACCCGGAGAAACAGAGTTGGTTTCTCCTGTGTGCCCGCAGTGGCTCTCAGCTCGGGCGGTGGGCTGGGGTGGGGGACTTTCGGTCTAAGCCCAGGCCGCCCCTAGACAGGAGGTCAGAGCCTCGGGCTTGGGACACGCACGTGGGCACTGTGTGATACTCCGGGGGTGCCGCGGGCAGGCTGCTCGAGACCGTGCGTGTCCTGACCCCAGCGGGTGCAGGTCTGAGGCAGAAGCTTGGCGACCTGGCCCCGGCTTAGCCTGAGCCCTAGCTCTGCTCTGTACGAGGGGCCCAGAGGAGGTGACCGCGGCCTGAGCCCGGGCTCCTGTGCGCCCCTCCCGTGGGGCGCTGCGCCCCCGCCGCGCCGTGGCAGTCCTGTCGCCTGCTGCTTTAAGCTGACTTTACGTCGGTCGTGTCAGGTAGAGTCTGTGCTGCCTGGACAGAGCCTGAGCATGAGAGTCTCAGCCTGCCCTAGGGCCACAGCACCCAAGACGTCAGGCGTTCGGAACTGGAGTGACCTCAGAGCGCCTCTCAGCCTGCCAGGCCTTGCCCGGCGCTCGCCCGCTGGTCAGTATTAATGTGAGAGTGGAAAGAGGAGCCACGGGAGGCGGCCCCGCGGGGGATGCGCCGGCTGCCTCTGGGAGGGCCGTCCTGGAGGTGCTGGGGAGCTCGGGCTCGGGCGTGGCAGGCGCGCTCCGACTCTAGCCGCCCGCCTTCTCCCGCAGACCCCGCCATGGCTGCTCCGGGCGGCCGTCCAGTGCGGGCCACGCAAGTGCTCAGAGCCAGCCTGCTGGTCCTGGTGGCCCTTGCCTTCCTCCACGGAGCCTTGGCCCAGCCTCACCGGGACTTCGCGCCGCCAGGCCAGCAGAAGAAGGAGGCCTCCGCTGACCCCCTGACCCAGCTCGGGCGAGCGCTGCGGGCGACGCTGGACAGCTGGCTGGGCCGGGAGAACATGCACTTGGTCTCTGAGGTAAGGAGGGCGAGCCCTGCGGCGGCGGCCCACGTCAAGGGCAGAGAAAAGGGGACGTCGCTAGCTTGGCACCAGCTCCTCTGGGGCCGAATCCCTGGTGTCCAGAGCCCCAAACTCCACCCCAAGCGGCCTTTCACTTCCTCCTGCCTGGGCCTTCAGCCCCACCCCATCTCCCCCCAGGCCCCCCGCTCTCAGTCCAAGGCCTGGGAGGTGCACCTCCCTTCAGACCCTCACTGCTGGGCCTTGTCTGACTGGCGAGAGATCCAGACGTCTGTGCCCGCCTGTGGAAGGCAGGGTTTGACCTGCCCGCTGGCAGGCGTGGGTCCGTGCACTGATAGGTGGCCCTCCAGGCCGAGGCAGACAGACGGAAGACCCATGATACAGCTCGGCTGCAGACTGCTTTTGTGGTGCGCCCTAGGGTCACAGTACAGATGCTCCCTTCCGAGCCACCGCCGGGACACGGGTGCACTCGCTGCTGCCGCTGGGCCGGGTCAGGCCCCAGGTGCCCTGCTTTGCAGCTCAGGCAGGGAAGCGGTGTCCGCCCGTACGCAGGGGGAGGACGTGGCGCCCCCCTGTGACCCCAGCCCCTGGCACTGGCTGAGAAGCAGGTCTCCACTCCCCGCAGGCCAGCGTGGCCCGGGTGAGCAGCTTGGAGGAGAGATGCCTGGTTCCTTCCGAGCTCTGCTCACACACCCTCTTTCCACAGACCCTGTCGCAGGTGACATGGGCCGTCTCCTCGGCCATCTCGGTGGCCTTCTTCGCCCTGTCTGGGATTGCAGCTCAGCTGCTGAACGCCCTGGGGCTGGATGGTAAGTGACCGGACTGGTAGGACACCTTCCACTGGGGCAGGGTCTCCCCGCCCCACGCAGGCTGCCCCGGGGTGTGGCCCGAAGCCGGCCACAACCAGCACCTGTGCGGAAGCAGGTGTCTGCCTCGTGCTGGGCTCCAGCGTCTCATTTATGGTTAACCACAGCCCCGGGAGGGGGAACTGCTGTCTTGAGTGAACCGGGCTCCTGGGAGGTCCGGCAGCAGCCGGGGACTGCCGCGGCTCCCTGGCGGGGCTCTGCTCTTCGGGGAGGGCGCGTCCCTGTGCTTCTCCGGCCCTGCCTGCGCCCCGGGTTGCTGACGGTCACTCCCCCTCAGGTGACCACCTCACCCAGGGCTGGAAGCTGAGCCCTGGCCAGGTCCAGACGTTCCTGCTGTGGGGTGCGGGGGCCCTGGTCGTCTACTGGCTGCTGTCCCTGCTCCTCGGCCTGCTCTTGGCCTTGCTGGGCCGCATCCTGGGCGGCCTGAAGCTTGTTGCCTTCCTGGCCGGCTTCGTGGCCCTGGTGAGGTCGGTGCCCGACCCTTCCACGCGAGCGCTGCTGCTGCTGGCCCTGCTGACCCTCTATGCCCTGCTGAGCCGCCTCACCGGCTCCCGGGCCTCCGGTGCCCGGCTGGAGGCCAAGGTGCGCGGGCTGGAGCGCCAGGTGGAGGAGCTGCGCTGGCGGCAGAAGCGCGCGGCCAGGGGCCCACGCAGTGCGGAGGAAGAGTGACAAGGACGCCCGAAGCTCCCCCTTCGCCACACCGAAGAGCTGAGCTGCTTCTGGGCTGGGGCCCTCCCCGCAGCCCCTGCCCTTCCCCTCCAGTACCTCCCTGCCACGGCCTCAGCTGAGAGAGCGGACGGCCCTTGGCTTCCTGCCCGTTTGCCTGGGCAGGTGTGCAGGCCTGGCTTTCACTGCTGCCTCTGGGGCCCTGGCCTCCTGTGACCTGCCTGCTCCCCAAGCTCTGCCCTCTGCCCGCCCTGTCCTGGCAGCACCCCACCATCCCCTGCCCATTGGCCAGCCGGGGAACCGCCTGGGTGTGGGCTCAGGCTGGAACAGGGCCTCGGGCCGTGGGCGATACACCCTATGTTATAAGTGCCTTAATCCAAGCAGTAGCGCCCCGCCCACCGCTGCCATCCCGGAGAGCTCGGGCACCACATCCCGTCCTTGTTAGCCAGAGCAGACCGGCCACCGCGCCTTGCTGGGAGCTCAGAGCCCAGAAGGCAGGAGGGCAGCGTCCTGCCCCACGCTGGCCTGCACGGTGCCGAGGAAGAGGAGCAGGCTGGTCAGCCACCCTGCCGCCGCGGTGTCCTGCTCCCTGGGCCCCAGGGGAGGGAGGTGGCCGTCTCTGCCCGGCCTGGCACCCATTTTGGCCGCTGAGGTTTGACGTGAAATAACAGCTGCAGTAATCCTTATTTTTATCAGTGCTTGGTTGATTTCAAATAAAGTGCACGCTATTTTATTATCTTGTCTGAATAAAGTGTATTTACTCCCAGTCTGTGCTGCTGTGACGGCCCCACCTCTCCCGGGGGGGCGGCAGCAATGGCGCACGGCCAGGACCCGGCCTCCTGGCTCCTGCCTGGCACAGAGGTTCCCACTGGGCCCACAAGTGGGGACGTGGGTTTCTGTTCTGCTGCCGGCCGCACCCGCGCTCCCTGGCGGGGCCGGGCACCAGAGGGGCAGTGCCCGGAGCCCCTGGGGCAGCCGGGGGCTGTCGTCGGCCCCGTTGGCCCCTTTCTTCCCCACGTTCCCAGCCTGGGTCTGACCCGCGGTGATGCCAGCGCAAGTGACACGCGGGCGCCGCACTCCGCGTCCTCCGGCAGGGGGCGCACCGCAGCCGCCCGGCCCGGCGTCGGGGCGGCCCTT